ATGTTCGTGCTAGGCACACAGTTTTCGTGAAGTTTTGGTATCGTTCCCGTTTCTTCACTCACTTACTGGCGTCTATCGTGGATCTCATATTACTGGAAGTTAAAAGTGACGAATGTTAATAGCTAAAAACTTTAGGATTTAAAACTATCGAGCGAACGTTCAAAGTATGGGCAGTATGTATGTAGGGAAGTAGGGACGTAAGTTTTGGCTTAAGTTTTCGAATGTCAGTCAATCAATCAATCCTATACAATGATTTTCTAATATTTCTCTTTTTTTTTTAATGTAATAAGTCGGCAAACGAGCCGACGGATTACCTGATGGTAAGCAATCAACGCCGCCCATGGACACCCGCAACGGAGGAGTTACGAGTGCGTTGCCGATCTTTTAGGGATTAGGGATTTGGAGATTTAGGGATTGGGGAAGGGTCCGGGAAGGGGAAGGATTGGGCCTCCGGTAACCTCACTCACACGGCGAAACACAACGCTGTGGTTGTTTCACGCCGGTTTTCTGTAAGGCCGTGGTATCACTCCGGTCGAGCCGACCCATTCGTGCCGAAGCATGGCTCTCCTACACTTTCTCTTTCTATTTACGTTTAAATATTATTGTATCTAAGGACACGATAGTAAACAAAGTGGTACAGAAAAAATCAACAGCCTATTCGATTTTTAATGAAAAAATAGTCATTGTAATTTGACCTAATTTCTTAAAGGTATCTTTATCGTATCTGGCTGGTGTTAATTTAAAATATTAATTATTTAAGCAAATTTGTGCTTTCAGGTAAATTGGTAATATAAAATAAGTGATAATTATTGGACGGTGTAATATTATAATTAATTTTATGACACAAGTAAGGCAGTATTTCATTTCAAGTCATCGAAAATAGTCATTTAAGAAAATCATTGGTATTGGTTGGTTATTTTTATAAATTAAGGTGATATGCCATTAGATGTTTCTCTTTAGTTTAACATAAAGACCTGTATTAGATGATAAGCAATTGGCTTAGCACCGACTACTGCTGATTTATAGTCAGGGGATTTGGAGATTGACTATTTGGGGGAAGGGGGGAGGGCAAGATTAGGGTCTCCAGTAACCTCACTCACACGAAGAAACACAACATAAATGTTGTTTCACGCCGGTGTTATGTGAGGCCGTTGTATCACTTCAGTTGAGCCGGCCCTCGCCGAAGCATGGCTCTCCCACAGTTAGAACATAGATTATTTATTTCCTTGAAAATTGGGTACATAAATTCCTTGAAAATATATTACAATTTAGAACTGTAAAGGGACTGGAACCTTTCAGGTAATGAAGCATTAATTTAGTTACTGGAGACCCCAAAGTATTATGGTAATGAGGTCCTAGAGTAGTCACTTGAAAATTGCCGCATAGGATCAAGTTTAGTGCAGACGCAATTATGTATGTAATTAAAATTCACAATAAAATATTATATTACTTTCTACTTACTAAAATAAACATGTTTTTTGTTAACACTTCTTCAGTTCAAAACTACATAATTTATAATAGCTAATTTCCGACTAATCAAAAATATTGCGTTCCTAATATCATAATCGCTACAAATATTAATATGTCGTATCCTCGTTAAATTAGCCATCAATCAAAGGCCTGATTTGTTGCTTCTGTTGTCCTTTTCTTTTTCTTAAAAAAACGTTGCCCCACACTAGGATTTTCTCCTGTGTCGTGGGTGCGTTTACAAACATACAAATTCACATACACAACACACCCAGACCCGAAACAACAATTTGTGGATCACACAATGTGTTGTTCCGTGCGGGAATCGAACCCGCGATACGTTGCACATCAGCCAGTTGCCCAGCCACTGCGCCAACCGTGCAGTCGAGGGTGTCCAGTCCAGGGTGTGAAAAATCATAATAGTATGATACATTTCCTCATAGAAAAAAAGGACAGTGTTTACCTAAGTACTCGTATCTATTGATGAAATTCAATCGTGGTATAAACAAGGAAATATACTAGAAATTAAAATGTTTTATGTACTTTCTCTTCAGCTGTTTTGATTTAAATTCAAGAAGCAGTGAGAGGATCGTACCTATATACCTACGCTCACACGTATTATTTTTTATTGTGTATTTTGTAAATTGTGTTTTAGTAAAGCATTACTTATATTATATACTAGCGGCCCGCCCCCGCTTCGCACGGGTCCAACTATCTCGCTATCAAAGGGTCACTTTTTCCTAATCTTCCCCTCCACTTTTCTAATATTTTTTGATAAGAACCTTCTCCTGACAATTAGAAACACAACAAAAAAAGAATTAGCAAAATTGGTCCAGGCATTGTTGAGTTATGCGCTTACCAACACATTTTGCCATCCATTTTTATATATAAGAAGATTGGTAAAGTTAATTTGTAATAGGTAAATTCATCGTTTAATGTTTTATATTTATCTTTTTATAAACAAATTCTAATTACACACTCATGCACAGTGCATATAGTATGAAACAATATAATTTGCTTTGTACAAAATGGTTTTGGACGAAAACCTATCTCGCGGCACGTTGCCCAGAAAACAATTGCAAACTTGAATTATTGATAGTATTCGAACCTGTATTTCTAGTAGCATACCTACAACCTAAGTGTCTTTAGATTATAGTTGAAGTACTCGCTTTATCACTCACTACCACTTGTTAACAATCAAAATGATTGTCAGAGTTTCTCAACAAATATTATAAATCAATTTGTTTTTTACCTTTCTGTATCGTCTGTTCAACCAATCATTTCTAAATTTTGTAAAGATACATGTTATAGTTGAGAAAAGAGCATAATTGAATTAACGCAAACAATTCCGTTAGTAAGTATAACCTACTGCACTGCTGAGCTGCCCCTCTATTTAATTCTTTCTTACTTTTCATAAATGTGCATAATAATATATAACATCCCACATCCATCATCATCATCATCATCATCATCATCATCATCATCAGCCTATAAGTGCCCACAGCTGAGTAAAGGCCTCTTCTCATACGGAGAAGGTTAGAGCATTAATCACCACGCTTGCTCAATGCGGGTTGGCGATTTTAACTTATAATTAGAAATTATAAGTCCAGGTTTCCTCACAATGTTTACCTTCACCGTATGTCAGTGGTGTCTAAATAATCAAAGAAAGTACACATAACTCGGAAAAAGACACATTGGTACTTGGCAGATTTCGAACCCACACCCTCATGCATGAGAAGCGGGCTCCTTAACCTCCGGGCCACCACGACATATATACATCCCACATCCATCTGTCTCCAACGATTGAACTAAATCGTCAAGCTAATACATTTTTGGACGACCTTGGCAGTTCTTATTTAAGCCAGTCAGTGATATAAAAAAAGTAGTACGCAATCGAATTACATATCTGCATATATTTCGTATATGCGATGGAGCCAAATTGCCAAATGCATAATGTAAGTGATACAATATGCTAGAAGGCCTATCGTGGATTTATGTTCGCGTGGGGAATAATTTGGCAATAAAATGCCATTGACACGAGGTCAGTGGGCAACTATCGCCGAACAACAGTAAATTAGAGCTGGGATGTCGCCAAGCAGAAAACTTAAATAGGATTAATGTATTGGGAGCAATCGGGTGAACTAAATACATTCAATGAAAATGCAAGAGTAATAAATAAAATGTCTTAGCTTGCATTTAAGTTTTCCTTAAACATGTTAGATGGGATAGACTAGCCTCATGTTGCGTGGTGTTTATAAAATGACTACAGGGGCAGGTCGGCTCACCCAGTGTGTTGATGTATTATATTATGCAGTCGATAAATGTTTTCTTGTTAAGTGTAAATGTAACTTGTATTTTTACAACATTTGTAGTTGTAGTATTTATTAGAAAAATAATGCTAAATTAAAGTTAGCGAGTCTGCTTGTGACCACGACCTGTGCAACCGGGTCGAAACGTCAAGCCTACCAAGGTATTCAAATTATAATTTTCCGCGTTAATACCCGCGTAAATATAATGTTGTTAAGATGAAACGCGAAAGTTTAAAAGTTAGTAAATTAAAGTTTTATGAAAAGATCACGGACCGATAGTCCCTTGAGAGCTAAAGTTGACAAAAAAGAAACGCAACCACCGAGAAATTCATATCATATTTAATTAATGGTATTATTTTACAAACAAGAGTTATTGAAAATATTCGAGTAGTTGTGAGTTATTTGAGCATATGCGAGTACAACATATCAGCAATTCATTTTTTATTTATTTAGTTGTGTGCATGTGCATATCTGGGCGGTTCTGTGCATGGCGACTAAGGGTAGTGAGTTAAGCATGATGTACCACGGCTGGGCTCGGAGCTGGAGAAGGAACAGGGTTACTTTTAGTCAGTAAGAGTCTGCTACTCCCTCATGTGGAGGGATTAGTGATGAGGAACACTTGCTATCCCTTAAAAAAAGTATGAACTTAGCAGAACTAGCCTCTGCCTCCCTCTTCTGGGAATAAGAGGCGACACGTTATGCAGTATGTCTGTTATGTAAATAGATAACGTATTGCTATTTGAGTGCATCATTGACCTTGATTGGTATCACAAGTATCAGCAGATAGGTTAATAGGTACTTCTGATTAATCGAAATGAATAGTTATAAAACCAGATGTTCTATTATAATCTCATTAGTTTGAAGTTAGAATTTGCAGATAATCGTAGTGTCTGTTTAGTCCAGAAAGGTGAAAGTAAGTTTTCTTCGTTATTTTCGTTTTAAATTTATTTTTCGAATTCTCCTTAGAATTTTCTGTTATAAAGATTTTTGAGGTTACCACTTACCCTAATGAGTTTAGGCCAAAATGTCAGATTATGAAGTGGAACAATTGCCATGTGACCTCTTGGATCGATGCGACATTATCATTTACCGGCCAATTAATTTTGTAATTCTAGTACATTTACAAACCAATAACTCAACATAAGTTCGAACGAACCTTTTTTAGTTCGGTTCATGCAGACTCTTATTATTGGCGTATCTATATTTTTATCAATTCATTTTCAGATGACCATCCGTTGGGGTATAGTAGCTGCGGGAAAGATTAGCAATGATTTTGTAAACGCTTTCAACTCATGTCCCGATATAGGGGATCAAAAGATAGTGGCTGTAGCTGCCCGAGATCAAGAGAAGGCTGACGAGTTTGCTCAAACTCATAATATCATGTTCTCTGGTACTTATGAGCATATGGCTCTTTGTACCGACGTTGGTAAGTAACTGCTTTTTTAAAATCTTAATGTATCAGGCTTGAGCACCTAGCTCAACCGTAGTACAGACTGATGGACTATCTGATTTTGACTTTGACTAAATAATATTTTCAACATTATCACAACACAAAGTTCTCTTGTATGACAGATTTCTTCCTAAGTATACTTTTTGCTCAGTTCTCGCCATTAAATCATTTTTTTATGGAAGGTCTAGGTTCTAGTCTAATAAACTGCTACTTTTTACACATTTTTATTGTAATTACAATAACTGAAAATGTCGCTGTAATATGCGATTGATTACACAAGAACGATGTCAATTAAAATTCGCTAAAGGCACATGCTAGGTTTCCGTATTAGGGTCCCATAGGATTCAGATTCGAATTCCATAAGACGGCTATCCGTCTATAAAGTAAAAACCTTCGATTCGTTGGATTCGAGTCGGGTCGGGGTTTTTCAAATAAGAATTATGTGCGCCCTTTTAATATTTTCTATTCAAGCTGAGCATTCAGGTTTTGGAATCTGAATTCCTGATTTTTAAACAATAACTCCTAAACCTAAGGAAGCCCACTTTACGGACGAATGTAATTTTAAAGTATTCAAATTAAATTCTTTCAGATGTGGTCTACATTGGGGCATTAAATCCTTATCATTACGAGCTCACAAAATTGTTTCTCGAGCATGGCAAACATGTTCTTTGCGAGAAGCCATTTGGAATGTCAAGTGACGAAGTCAAGAAACTTGTAGATTTGGCTAAGAAGAAGAATCTATTTCTTATGGAAGGAGTGTGGTCCCGCTTCTCTCCTGCATACTATGAAATGGAGAAAACAATTCAAAGTGGATGTATAGGAGAAGTGAAGTTTTTGGAAGCCAATTTCGGTTTCTTCAGCAACAGTGAGAGAATACAGTAAGTGCTTTTTGAAGTATCGATAACTTTAAAAATACTTTTACAAATTTAAAACATAATTGGCATTCCCATTTCATCTATGAAGTAAATATAAATGCATTTGTAACACGGGAGAAAAGTTTGATGTGGCCGTATGTGCCAAAACATATATGTCGGAGATTCGCTAACAGTGGGTCGCGACATTGTCAACTCACACAATATTATTCAAGGAATATAACTACAACACAATAACAGCGAAAACGCAGGAAGTTTAGCGGGGAGTAACGCTAGTAGATGCCGCCAACGCCGCGATCTTTTCAAAAGTGTTTCCCGCGCACAGTGACGTCTGTCAATGTCATTCGCTGTCAAATGTCAATGTGTGATTAATCTTCTAGATCGATTATTCCATCGGTGTTGCCATTACCCCGCGCTAACCATCCTCAAGTAATTACTTGACGCTCTGAACAATAGTTGCCACATCTAAATCGATTGATATGCGTTGACGCTTCGACATATGTATATATTTACTTTGATTACATATTGCACTCATATCTTTGTCCTCAGCAAAAAACAATATGGTGGCAGTGCAGTTCTCGATGTGGGAGTATACGTGCTTCAGTTAGCACAATTTATATTTAAAGCGTCTCCAGAAAAGTTGGCTGCTTTTGGTAACTTGAATGAACACGGAGTGGATTATTCTGAGACTATCGTTTTGGAGTACAAATGTGGCAAACGAGCCGTACTTAACACCCATACGCAGTTGGAACTATGTAATCAGGCTACGGTGTATGGAACTAAGGGACGAATCAAGGTAAGTGTTTAGTTCATAAACCTTTCTTAAATAGGATTGTGCATCAAACGTGCTGAAAGTTCACCTGATGTTAGGTAATTGGAGTTGCCCATAGACATCCGCAACATTGAAGTGCTACAAGTGCGTTTCCGACCTGTTGGGGGTTGGAGATTTGAAACATTAGGAATTTAAAAGAGTGAAACATGGGGATAGGAAGGCAGAAACTCAATCACACAGCGAAATTTTTCGTTTTGACAGCACCACAGGCTGTCTGCTTGTATAGTAGTAGCCAGAGTTGTTAAAGCTGATATATAAATAGTCTTAGTCTTAAACTAAGCAATCATATAGACTGCGCGGTTGGTGCGGGGTGGCTGAGCAACTGGCTGCCGTGCAACGTGTCGCGGGTTCAATTTCCGCACGGATCAACTCATTGTGCTTTTTTTATGGTATATGTCGGCAAACGAGCAGACGGATTACCTGATGGTAAGCAATCGGCGCCGCCCATAGACACCCGCAACACCAAAGGAGTTACGAGTGCGTTGTCGGCCTTTTGGGGATAGGGGTAGCGGATATAAGGATTGGGAAGGGATAGGGGAAGGGGAGGGATTGGGCCTCCGGTAACCTCATTCACACGGTGAAACACAAAGCTGTGGGTTGTTCCACGCCGGTATCACTCCGGTCCGGAGCCGACCCATTCGTGCCGAAACTTGGCTCTCCCACACTTAAAGTGTGACCCGCAAATTGTTGTTCTGGGTCTGGGTGTCAGGCGTAAGTGAATTTGTATGATTGTAACCGCACCCACGACACAGGAGAAAATCCTAGTGTAGGGCAACGTTTAAAAAAAACCATTCATAAAATAAATTTTAATTATTTTCTATCTTAGTTGGAAGCCCCATTTCACTTCCCTGACAGAATGGTTATATTTACTGAGGCAGGGAATGTGGTTAAAGATTTTGAACTGCATACATCGAAACTGCCATACAACTTTCAAAATAGCGCAGGACTTGCATTTGAGGCGATAGAAGTCGGAAACTGTATTAGGAAAGGTATGTACCATATTTTCTAAGTATTTACAAGTAGATAATTAAATTCAGCATTGAAGACTTCTGGATAAGAGAGATGAGTCACATAAGAAAACCTTTGAAGAAATACTTATTCACTAAAATTGATTATTCCTGCTTTGTTCTTATTGTATATAGGTCTGAAAGAATCACCTCGGATGACCCACAAAGAAAGTATCCAGTTGGCAGAACAAGAAGATCAAATTCGACAGCAACTGGGAGTGTTCTTTGAGTGATTGAAAAAATATTAAAAATTATAAAATAATTAATAGAACTTACTTTACAAAAATATGTTAATACTGTTATTTTTAAATATAGCCTAAATAAATTGGTGTGTTTCTTTTTCATAATTATTATACTATAACATAGTGTGTTAGGTATAACCAGAAAGTTTAAAATATTTGGTTTCGAGTTTATGTCTTGGGAAGTAAAGGTAGGTACACTGTATAATTTCTATAATATGAAAATCAACCAGAAAAATTGGGCTGACAAAATATACATCCGCATTTGGGCGAGAAAACAAGCTAAGTAGGATAATTTATAACGTGAAAACACTTATACATGTGTAGTTGAACCTACCGGCAGGATCTAAGCTGTGGCAATTATTATTGGCTTACTCGCTGTCACTGCGTAAGGGGTAAACACCATTTATCTTAAACATCAACTCGGGTTACAGTAAGCAAGCTTTAGTTCCGTCCCGATCCCATTTTGAAAAGGGCTTAATCTCCGCTATTAACCGCAACAGACTATACAGTATTGTCCCGGATTACTTCTTTGATATACAGGATTTATACAGAACGAACCTTTTCGTTGAAATTTATGTTCCACCAAAAATTTATTTGTAGTATTGGGTGGTGTTATCGGAAAACTGACAATTAAGGTAAGGTTTGTAGGTAGGTAGGGTCGGTAGGCACGTCGGTAGTCGGGAGTGAACATGGCGTCGACCTTTCGCGTTCGGCCTTAGTTGAGGCCATGCCGTGGAGTGACAGGAACTGGGAAGCCGGCTCCTCTTTAAATAGAAGGGAACGCTAGAAGGAACTATCCTCCTCACGCCCTAGCTGCCGAATTATCCAAAATTCCGAGCATCGGGAATCGAAAGAAGATCTCGGTAAGTAAAGGTAGCTCGGCGCTCCAGACCAGAACCAGACCCTAGCGTAAGGTGGATTGCGTTCCGCGCGCATCTCAAAGAGCCAATAGCCTACTACAAACGGGGCCCTACTAGGGCAAATATTCAACGGGGGATGCGGGGAAGCGCAATGAAGGGCCGCGGCCTAGAACAGAAGAAGGAAAGGGGAGTTTTTAGTCAGTAACAGTCTGACACTCTCTCTCTCGCCCTAACGTGGGCGGTAGAAGACATTTGATAATTTTCCCCTCACAAATAAGGTAGGTAGGTAGTCAAATAAAAGCTAGTGTCATATTCATTCAAGACTCTGTGAACCCATTTCTATCAATAAATAATTCTAACAAATTAATAATAACAATGTTCGCTCGATTCGATTTTTCATCTCCAGTCCTAAGTACCACTCTAAAGCTAAATGAATTCGATACAAGATAAATAAATTATTATTTGTCTACCAAACTGAATGGTCACCACTTGAAACGAAATTGTAGCGAATGATTTTGTTCATATTCAAATCAATGATAATCAAATCGTAAGATATTATTTTATTTGAAATTATTATAGATATTAAAGGATTGTGTTTCATGACTACAAAACACATATAAACATGACATGGGACGAGATGAGGAGGGGTGTCATGTATAATAGAAAGTCTATTAATGACGTCAACCAAGGGATATCTGTATTTAGATTGAAGAAATACAGGCCAATCAAAACGTTATTTTAACGTCCAACGTGGCAATTTTGTTTTCTTTTTCTCTTAAAGGTTAAGATTTTTCCCCTTGCGTTTTTGCTGTCTCTCATCTGCAACATTTATTTCAGTACTTACTAAAGATTGAGTGGCAGAGAGAGAAACATCGAGAGCAATGTTTGTGTGGACTTTCTAGTCTCTGTTGTCATCCAAAGTCTCCTTGGGTTTTTTAAATTCTAAGCAGTACGTTTAATGTTGGAATAGTGTTGCTGTATGACAAAAGGTTCATTTCTTTTTATGAAATTATTTCCGTCGGACAGGTCCAGCTCAAAAATAATATCTACACTCTATATATCAAACTACTATCAATACTTTCGCTTGATTTCTACAAAACTTTTATTGGACTCCCAATATGGAATTTCTGCACGCCGCGGGAAAAGCGGTAGAAATGTATATATTGGAATATAAATTTCTACCGCTTTTCCCGCGGCTTCTCTACCATCATAGTTGAAAATTTTCCCACAGGATCCCGTTACCCGATCAAAACGTGTTCTATATCATCAAATATTTTTTAGTGTTCCAACTATCTCCATAAAAAAATATTATTCGTGAAGGAGCTTTTATCGGCACATCTGGTTTAAATTTTAAATTTGAACTGAGCGTTGTCATGTCAATCATTAAATTTTTCTTATCAAATTCATCCAAGATTACGCACGATACTCAATTTTTCATAGTTTCACAAAATTCGCCTATGAAATGATATGAAAATTGTAAATAAAAGGGATTTGTGGAAAGGAGGAAAGGGAGAAGTGCATACACGTCCATAAAAATGGAATTTGAAAAACAGAGAGCGCTAATTGTCTATGACATCATTGTTTAGAGAAAGAAAAGGAACGGGGGAGTTTTTAGTCAGTAAGAGTCTGAAGAGTCTAAGATGGAGCGCCCTCTCGCCCTACCCAGGACGAAAAAAGTCACTTGATGATTACCTTAAAAAAAACGATATATAATTAGCAAGTAAACAAAATGGAAATATTTTTCTAAAGCATCGTCAAACGCCGCAATGCGACTGTTCTGTCTTTTCGACTTGTGCTCTAAAATGATAAGTGCAATATTGAACTGGAAATACTCATATAAAAGTAAGATCATAAAAGAAGACGGCATATGGTTGGAACGAGTGTCGCAGCCGCATTGTGAGCCGAGTAATAAATGCTACAGAAAATGTATATTTAATAACAGCAATAAGACAAAAACATGTGAATCATTTGTAATAAAAACTAGGTCGAAATTGGCAAGGAGGTTTTACGGGACGGACGGACGGACGAAAGGAAGATATTTTAGGGTAAGGTCAAAAAAAGAAATTCATTTTATATATGGACTTTTTTCACTTTTTTATGCATTACCGTAATTTTCTTGACAAACAATTTACAAATCAGCATACTTAAAAAAGGGAAAAGTTTAAAAGGGACGGAGTGGTTTTTAGTAAGTAAAAGTTTGACAATCTTTCTCACTCCACCTCATTCTGGAGAAGGTTTGATTAAAATAAACCTTATAATTAGCGGTAGCAGACATTTTGCAGCCGAGGAGGATAAGAAAGATTAAATCAATAGTCTAAGATCACCTCTTCGTGTATCATCATTATTATATAAACAAAAGGTATATTAGCAAAGTTGCTAATATGAATTTTAGCTTTGGTAAATATTCCCTGTTCGGTGTTAATAATAAAAACCCACATGAGTCCGTTCATACGATAACCCAAGTTAATAAAGGCTAGGTAATGAATTCCGTGGATAGTGGACCGAAGTCACGTACAATATACTCGGGTCGAGGCATCGTCACTCAATAAGGTTCTGGACATTTTACTTATTTATTTTCCTTTATTATATAAAAAAGATGAAAGCTAATTTCAGATATTATTGATGTAGGACCTTCTAGTGCTCAAGTTCTTGCTTATATCTGGGACTGTTTGCATGGTGGCAGATTATTAAGACAGCCAACAAATTAATTTCCTTTACTAGCATATTTTTCTGAATCTTGTCTCACTAAGATTGTTTCTAATTAAATCAGATACAGGCAGATTTTGGCTTTACATCTCATTTCAACGGTAACATACCGTGACGTTACCATTAAAAAAAATATCATAAATTTACTTTTTTGCCACACTTACTCAAAAGCGGGTGTGGTTTGATATGTTCTGTTTATTAAGCTTGGATAATCGTCGTTTTAACTCTAAACCAGGCCGAGGTTCCAAAGTCGCTTAGATGTTGTAACCCTATCTATTTGAAATGTTCTGTCTAACGAACCATTTGATTAATTGATAACGTCGGTTCCCTTTAGCAAATCCGGCAGTATTTGGACGATTTATCGAGAATTTCCTAATTTCATGTCGCAATTTGACACCCAAGGAGAGAATGGAGTGAAAAGGATTACTTGGGGATTTTAGGGAATTTTCTAATTATAGAATGTTATTGTATTATATAGCTTTGGTAACTCAATTTTGGTTATTTAGTTAGTTTTATCAACACACTTGTTGTTTAGTAAACCAAACAAAGTGTTTCTTATTCAAATCGGGTTTATGTTGGTCGACTGCTTCACAAAGGATCTTTTTTGACAGTGGAAAAAACTCATCAAATTACTTATTCCTGTTTGGGTGTGGCGAAAACGAGTGTCAGACTCTTACTGACTAAAAACTTCCGGCTGATTTCACAAAGTGTTTTTTTATATGATAGGGCAGCCAACGATCAGATTGATTACCTGATAGTAAGCAATCAGCGCCGCCTATGGACACCTGCTACAACGGAGGAGTTACGAGTGCATTGTCGAACTTTTGTGGATTAGGGATTTAGAGTTTTAGGATTCGGGAAGGGGAAGGATTGGGCCTCCGGCCTCACTCACACGTGGTTGTTTCACGGTGAGTGAGGTATTCTATGAGGCCGTGGTATCACTCCGGTTAAGCAGAACCATTCGTTCTGAAGACAGGCTCTCTTACACTAGTGTGTGTTGTGAACTTGATTCGTATCCTGTGCATCATCATCATTTATATGACGAACAAACTTCTTTTCACTGAACTCTACTGCTCAGTAGACAAGTTTAGAAAGAAGAAGCTGTTAAGTACCAACTTTTTTAAATATTCTTTAGCTGGCCATTTCCTGCCATTCAAGTATCTAAGTTACAAAGTAAAGTTCAAAGGCGAAGTCGCTAGGACAAAGAGCAACTGCTAACTGCAGTTGTTCGTCCATTAAAGGATTACATATGTAAGTACTTTGTATCTTGGAAGCAAAAGTTCTTCTAGTTGATAGAAATATAAACCTTTATCCCTTTAGTTTAAGTTGTAAAACGGAAATTAAGGTATTTTACGGGATGGAAGGCTTATTAGGCATTTTTTTTAATATTACCTAAAATGTTTTTATTTTGATGCGTACATAATT